TTTTCATTTAACACATGGTTAGGTTAGGAACATGGGCTTTGTAATCCATGTTCTCAGTTAACAGCACTGTCAATTACTGTTTAACCTTTTTGAGTCTTATTACTTTCCTTATTAGTAAAGTGGTAGTTGTAGTTAAGGTTAAGTGAGAATATAAAGTCCTTAGCATGTGCCTAGCACATAGTACTCTGAATATTAGCTGCTATCACCAATGTTATTTATTAGTCATAAACAATAAAACATGTTACAAAACGTTTTGTGCAGAATAGAAAATTGAAACTGTGATGGCTGACTTCAGGCCATGTATAGTCCAAGAGGCATCTTTTTTACCTTGTCCTTTTGATGTGAATTCTGCCATTCATTGGCTTAATGTCCTTAGACTAGATATTTAACCTTTCTGTGCTACATTTTGTCCTGTGTGTAACAGAGGTAGTTATAATAGAGGGCTGCTGTTGATTCTTAAGTACTTGAATTGATGTTCTAGAACAATGCTTGGCACATAGTAAGTGCTCAATAAAAGCTATTTTTAGAATTAATATTAACATTATTCAATTGTCAGTGTGCTCAGCTAATTACACAGACTGCTAATGATAGAACCAAATTTATACAAGAGCAAAAACTGACATGGTAAAAATTTCTTTAAAAATATTTATTTTTTAGTTGGACACAGTACCTTTATTTCATTTATTTTTATGTGGTGCTGAGGATTGAACCCAGGGCCTCACATGTGCTAGGCAAGTACTCTACCACTGAGCCCCAGCCCCAGCCCCAGCCCCAGCCCGACATGGTAAAATTTATAATAGATTAAATATTGACAGAAATGTCACCCTCCTGATCAAATTTAAATGTGCAAAAATTTGAACAGGGAAAATTGGATATAGTAGAAATAATGTAAAAAAAATTCAGATGCAGAAGTTCTAATGGGTCAGTTGTGAAATGAAATAAACAACAAAACTTCTAATCAATAAATTTAAACTCATTTAAAAATGTTTACCTGTTAAGAATTGGTCCTGGGGCTGAGGTTGTGGCTCAGCGGTAGAGTGCTCGTCTATCACATTCGAGGCCCTGGGTTCAATCCTCAGCACCACATAAAAATAAATAAATAAAGGTATTGTGTCCAACTACAACTAAAAAATAAATAAATATTAAAAAAGAATTGGTCTTAATGAAAATGGGTATGGATTCAATGGACAGGGCTAATTGCTGAGTGAAAAAAAAATGATAATGAAATAAATTGATTTAAAGGAGTTAGATTCACTTTAAATGTTAAAGAAAGTACACTAGTACTTTTCACTAATGTTTTTGTATTAATAAAGCATGGAATTAAAATTTCCTCAGGCTCGAAACACTAAGGGAAGTAAGAGTTTAAGTGGTTAATAGTGTTAAGAATCATAGAAGGTAAAAGCTGAATAAAAGAGAAGAGCTTGTCATTGGGTCTTGATATTGTTAATGGGGTCTTGATATTGTTACAGAATAGAAGTTTTATCAAGAGAGAACAACTAAACTAGATTACAGTGGGTAGAGTAACAAATGGGAAGTACCAAAGAGAAATAACAAATGAAACTATGGAATTTAGAACTTATCCCTTAAACAGTAGAGGACAATCACAAACTTTTTTTTTTTTTTAAGAAGTCAGGCAACCCTGATCATCTTGACTAGTTTATCAATAATTTATATACAAGATATATTTATTTATTTATTTATTTTTTAGAGAGAAAGAGAGAGAATTTTTTAATATTTATTTTTTAGTTTTCGGCGGACACAACATCTTTGTTTGTATGTGGTGCTGGGGATCGAACCCGGGCCGCACGCATGCCAGGCGAGCGCGCTACCGCTTGAGCCACATCCCCAGCCCATAAAAGCACCTACAAACTTTTGATTGAAGGAAGAATGTGATTGAAAGTGCTATTTAGGGAACTCTGGTGCCAGCATTTACAGTAGATTGCTGGAGGATAAAAATGGCAATACAGAGACTAATTATTGGGCTGGGGATGTGGCTCAAGCAGTAGCGTGCTCACCTGGCATGCGCGGGGCGCTGGGTTTGATCCTCAGCACCACATAAAATAAAATAAAGATGTTGTGTCCACCGAAAACTAAAAAATAAATATTAAAAAAAATTCTCTCTCTTTAAAAAAAAAAAAAAACAGACTAATTATTAGGGCAGTGGTGGGAAATGAAGAAGAAGGAATGACAGGGAAGCATTCTAGAACAGAAAATCTTGTGTTCTGTGTAGCCAAATAAGAGATTTTAGGCTAATGGCAAATAGAGAAATCAAGGAAAGGAATTGGTTTGTGGAAGATGATGATAACTTTTCAATGAAGTTTTATTTGATAGCACATTTGTATGGAAACGAATAGCAGTCAGTTAGAAACTAGAGCTGCTGTGAATTCTCATACTTGGTGTTAAGAGAATCAATGTGGACTTTATATAGGTAACTGATCATAAGAATAGTCGGGGATTAAAGAAGTACCTTATGAAGAAGTTTTTTAACTGGGTATATGAAAGCTTCAGGGAGGTCAGGAATTATATACAGAACTTTGTGAATATTATATTTTTGTTTTGGAAAAGTGAGTTTTGTATTATTGCCAAGAGTCTGTGACACAAGGGGTAAAAATCACTGCTAGAAAAAGTAAACCAGGTAACTAAATATGGAGACAAGACTAAATACCAAAAACAGAGAACCAAAATAAAACTAGGATTGAAAGTTGCAGAAAATGACAACAGAGGGAAAGATAGAAGTAGTAAACCAGACATTAAAAAAAAAAAAACAAAAAACTGAAACGGTATAGGTTGATGTTTTATTTTTTCTGATGCCAGAAATACTCCATATTCCTTGGATCCTGTATACTTTGCAGTATATTAGTTGATCATCATCATGATGACCTAGGAATTAAGAATTATCTTCCATAGACCTATCAGTAGTAAAAAAGAAAATTGCATAACACATATAGAATGATTTTCATCCAGAAGTATAAAGTAATATTTTGCTATATAAAAAGCATAAGGTATGTATTATACAGAGTTAACATGTTATCAGAACTTAGCTCTGTAAATTTTACTGATAAAACTTTGTTCCCTACATTACTGTAGTTTTGGTACTTGGTTGAAATAATTGGTTTATGTCAGATGAAGCATTCTATTCTCCTGTGGGCCATTTGACTTTGAATATTTTATTGGGGATCTTCTACTAACCAGTTGGGGGCAGACAAACCTGGACTACAGTATCAGGGCTTTAGGTTAAAGGCAGACAATTCTGGTAGTGCTTGTAAAATAATTATGATCTCATTAAAAAAATTGTGGCACTATTTGGATGAGGTTATTCCAAAGGAGTGATTTTTCCCATTTGATGAGGTAAGTATTAGCTAATGTGGTCTACCTGTTGCAGATGTGCTTCCTGTAAAGTATTTTAATCAAAATACTCCTAGCATCACAATTACTAGGAGAAGTAATATGTAACTCATGGAATTAAAAAGTTTCTATTTGGACATCTTTTTTTAGTAACTGGGGCAAGAGATACCAAGTATTTTAATTAAGAATTTAATCTTTTGAGACAGGATTTTACTGTGTTGCTCAAGCTAGTCTTGAACATGAATACTCAAGCAACCTTCCTGCCTTAGCTGCCTCCCAAGGAGCTGGGACTATAGACGTTTGCCCAGCCATTAATCATTTTTAATAATTTTAATTTAACATCCATTTTGATCCTAATATGTTAAGGAGTTAAACATTTTTTTCTTTAGTCATGCCAGTTCATTAGATTGTTTTCTCTTTTTTGAAATTCTAAGTTGCCACTTTTCTTTCAATTATATGAATTAAGTGTGAAATGATAGACAAGTTATTTTAGAAAGGTTTTTGTTTGTTTGTTTTATGCTAGGGATTGAACGAAGGGCACTTTACCCTTGGGCTATATACATCCCCCAGCCCTTTTTGTTTTTCATTTTGAGATATTCTGTGTTGCTGAGACTGTCCTCAAACTTGGGATTCTCCTATCTCAGCCTTCCAAGTTGTACAGTGTGCCACTGTGCCTGGCTAGGAGGCTTTTTATAATGAAGATTTAGATATATTTTTGCTTTTGTGCGAAAGTTTTTGTATCAGAACTCATTTGGAAAGAACTTCTTAAGTGACTTCCTTGATTCACATTATAGCATAGAAAAGGAAATGGAAAGGTTTCATGCTTCTTTGATTGATTTCTTTGTGTTTTCAATGATCATTTCCATTTTTATCCATTTTTATTTCCATTAGAGTAAAATAGAGTTTTCAGTAAATGTGTACTTCTATCATTTGTAGCAGTGCTGTCTAATAGCAATATGTAAGCCACATGTGTAATTTAAAATTTTCTAGTAGTCACATTACAGGGAGTAAAAATAGGTAAAATTAATATTTTTACTCAATAGATATAAAGTATTATTTTAACATATGATCCGTGTAAAAATTATTGAGTTGTCTTCTTCTTTCTTTTTTCTTTTTCTTTTTTTTTTTGCTGTTGTGCTAGGGATTGAACCCAGGGGGCCTTGTGCATGCTAAGTGGACACTCTACTACCAAGCTTCATCTGCAGTCCTTATTTCATATTAAGCCTTTGAAATTCAGTTTGTATTTTATACTTTCAACTTATTTCAATTTGGATTAGCCATATTTCAAGTGCTCAGTAACCGTATGTGGCCAGTGACTACTATATTGTACAGATCAGGTCTGTAGAGTCAAAACATATTCTTAGTATCTGGATACTAAAATGAAATGATGAATGGAACGAAAATTAATTGGACTTGGTGAATATAATAACTAGTTACCAAACCCCAAAATATGATTATCTTTAAAGATAGTAGAACTGGGCTTTTTTACTCATTGAGACATTAAGTGGAGAAAATAGCTGGGAATATTGAGTAGATGTAACTTTTACTGTTTGGTTGCCCTTAATACCTGAATTATGTAATTGTATTTTTTTTTTTTTACTGTGTATACATCTCCATGCTTCCATGAAATTACAGTATGTGTTTGTAACCTTTAGCATAAATGCAGTTCCAACTACAATGAAGATTTTGTGCTACAGCTGGAGAAGGAATTGGTCCAAGCCCGACTAAGTGAAGCTGAGTCTCAATGTGCACTAAAGGAGATGCAGGATAAAATCCTGGATATAGAAAAGGTAAGAAATAACACAAATGCTGTTCACCCCTAAATTAGAGGGGAGATGTGGTAGGTATTTATTAAGTATTATTGAGTAATTAAAATTAAACTTGGTACTTTTACAATGTTAGAAAGTTAGAACAAAGAAGAAATATTTGAAAGATTGCCAGCTCTTCTTTGTTGCTACCATACTAATCCAGGCCTTATAATTAAGGACAAAAATGAAAATTAGAGCTCTTTTAGAAGAAAACAACCAGGATAATGTTCATAGAAAGAATATTTAAATGTTGAAGAAGAAAAACTTAGGTAACAGAAAGGAAGTGTCCTCAAATGTTGCAATATCTATATGTGGAAGAGAGAGAATAGGACTAGTTCATAGAAATTTCAGAGAAAAGTTCCTCTGAGTGTAATATTTAGAACCAAGCTAGAACAAGTCACCTCAGGATATATGGCAAATTCCCCTTATCCTGAGTGGTGCTTATTTATAGGTACTCACTTACTTCTTCTCCAGGATATCAAAGAATGTCAAGACCTAGTAGATAAGTAGAGTAAATAGAAAAAGTTACAGGTTTTTTATAACTCAGATTTGAGCAACTATGCTCTAGATCACAAACTGAATCTTTTTTTTTTCTCATCTATAAAATCATTGATGTTGAGTTCATTCTTTTTTGCCCTTAGGTTTTTATTTATTTATTTATTTTAGTTGTAGATATACACAATATATTTATTTATTTTTATGTGGTGCTGAGGATCGAACCCAGGGCCTCACACATGCGAGGCAGATACTCTGCCACTGAGCTTCAGCCCCAGCCCAGTCCCTAGGTATTGTTGAATCAAGAAGGCTTATAGAAAATCAACATAACAGCCTGAATTGTTCTTAACTATTTCTTTTTTTTTTAAGATGTTGATGGACCTTTTGTTTTTTTATTCATTTATTTATATGCAGTGCTGAGAATCGAACCCAGTGCCTCACATATGCTAGGCAAGTGCTCTACCACTGAACCACAACTCCAGCCCCTTAACTATTTTTTAAAGAACTAGAACAGGTGTAACTAGAATCAGAAGTGGAAAAATTTTGCTAGAAATCTGCTTGCTGTTTGTATATTATCTGGAAAATGTATTCTTTGATTTTTTTTTTTTTGTGTGTGTGTGTGTGTGTGAAAAAAGCAAGCAACAATGCTGAAAGAAATACCTAACAGAATATTTGGTTTCTAATCTAGGAATATTCAGGGCTCTATGGTTTAGATAAGAATCTAAGTCTTACATTTGGAAAGACTAAGTATTTGGTAGAAAGAAGTGTATTTGGGTCCAGTTAAAAAATTGGTTTCTTAGATGGTGAAATGAGATGGACATCATTACCCTAGGTACATGTATGAAGACATGAATGATGTGACTCTATTTTGTGTACAACCAGAGACATGAAAAATTGTGCTGTAGATGTGTACTATGAATTGAAATGCATTTTGCTGTCATGTATAACAAATTAGAATAAATAAATAAATTTTTTAAAATGGGTTTATTGACAAGGGGAATGGCATGTGCCTGTAGTCCCAGCTACTTGGGAGGCTGAAATAGGAGTATCCCTTGAGCCTAGGAGTTCAAGGCCAGCCAGGGAAACATAGTGAGGCCTTGTATGATTTCTTAAGTGGCTGTGTTGATATTCACGTTTTAGAGTAGAAAGTAAGTTAGAAGTTTGCATTATGGTTAACCTCATTGTACAACATTTTCTTTCTCTGCTTCCAGTAATCTTTTTTTTTAAATTTTTTTCCTTTTTTTATTTGTTTCTTATATACATGACAGTAGTGGAGTGCATTACATTCGTGATTATCCATTCACAGCACAATTTTTTGTAACTCTGTATATGAAGTATGTTCACGCCAAATTATGCCATTATACATGAGCTCTCTTTTTTTTTTTTTGCGTACAATTCTTAATACACCTTTATACCATTCCAGTAATCTTTTTAATGCATATACATTAGTATATTCTGATCTTCAGTTTAGAGAATGTTTAAAATCCATCATAAAAATGTGCATAATTTGTGAAAGTACTTTATTCTATAATCCCTGTGGGCTGAAATCTTTGTGACCTCCATAAAATATTTTAGAGATAGAAAATGTCACAGAACCAGGCCTTGAAATCTCAACAGTATCTTAGTTTATCCAGGGAACTTTCTCTAGGGCTGTTTTTGGATCTCCTGTTAGCTCAGTATTAAACTGCTCTGGAAAGTTATCAGGTGGGTCCTTTAGTATGGCAGGAGATTGATTTAAGTCTTGAATCCATCAAGCAAATATTTAGGTCATCTTGGTATTTTCTTGACTATTGATATAAATAGTGACCGATACACAGAGATTTGACACCCCTCTTCCAAGATAACGTGCTAAGAAAATAAAAACAGATTTTGGACTGTTCTTTTCTTTAAGTCTTTAAATCAGCAATATTTATAAGAGCCCCAAAGTGCAAACAATCCAGATTTCCTTTCGCTGATGAATTAATAAATAAAAACGTGATGTTTGTACAATAGAATATTATTTAGCAATAAAAAGAAATGAATCTTAAAAACATTGTGTTAATTGAAATAAGCTAGTCACAAAAAAATCACATATTGCATGATTCCATTTATATGAAATGTTCAGAATAGGCCAATCCATAGACACACAAAGTAGATAAGTGGTTGCCAGGAACTGGGGGTTAAAAGAATGAATAATTACTGTTAATGGGCATAAGGCTTCTTTTTTAAAAAAAATTGTTTTAGTTGTAGATGGGCACAATATCTTTATTTTTATTTATTTACTTTTATGTGTTGCTGAAGATCGAACCTAGGGCCTCATGCATGCAAGGCAAGCGCTCTACCACTGAGCTACAACCCCAGCCCCATAAGGTTTCTTTTTTGTGTGTAAAAATATTCTGAAATTAGAGTTTGGTGATGACTAAATAACTCACTTATATACTTTAAAAGGATGAGTTTTATGTTGTATGAAATATATTTCAATAAAACTGAATAAAATAAAGTATTTAATTACATATGGTACAAAATAGCTCAGTGTGTACCATATGTTGTTTCTTGAATTAATATATTTCAAGTTAAATTTTTTCTCAATTAGAGAAACAACTCCTTTCCTGATGAGAATAATGTTGCAAGGCTTCAGGAGGAACTCATTGCTGTGAAGCTGAGAGAAGCAGAAGCCATTATGGGTTTGAAAGAACTTAGACAGCAAGTCAAGGATTTAGAAGAACACTGGCAGGTACACCAATATGTTTTATGTACTTTTCAGAAATATCCAGTTTGTTTGAAGTAGCTGATGTTTGAAGTAGCTGATGATGATGGTTAAGTAGGAGATGGTTAAGTTTAAAGTGAGAAAAATCCTTGATTAATGTCAAGATTAAGAGCATTTATAATTTGAAGGTACACTGAAACTGCTTCTACCTTCTTAATTCTTATAATGAAATAAAAGATAGAAATCAGGTGATTTTTTTTTGTTGCATGATTGTGTATTACATAACATTTTCTGCAGAAGGCTAAGAAAATACTCTTTTTATACTGTACACATTTTTTCTAATGTTGATATTAAATCATTGACAATCAGTGTGAAACATCAGAAGGGTGACAGCAATATAAATTTGTCTATAAATTTGTAACTTCTTTTAAAAATAGTTATCTCATAAAGTATATGAAATTTAACTAATTACATGCCCACAAATTTATCCACACATGAGGAAAATTATTGACAAGGAAGAAAATACAAAGCTCTGAAAGACAGAAAAGAACAAGGGAATTAAAACAAAACAAACAAACAAAAAAACACATAGTTTCAGAATTGGTTTGAATTGAGGGGAGGCAAAGACATCTGTCCAAGACTAAAATTAGACTTCTACAGTGTCATGGCTTTTAAAAAAAATGTATTTTGTAGAAAGTATCAGGTTGCAATAAGCTGAAAATCAAAAAACAAAAACTCAGAACTGGTCCTTAACCACAAATTTTGAGAAGCACTGCATATAACTTCTAATGTTGCTTCTTAATGAATGACCCTATTCTTTTCTTTGTGTTTCATTGAAGATAATGTGAAAAAATCTCTATTAAAGATTAGGGTGAAAATTGTACTCTTTACTAGAATTACTCCTCAGTATATGCAGAGAAAAAATTTGAATTGCATCTGAGTCCAGGTCTGCCACTTAATTTGTGACTGTGTGACTTTCCTGAAGTTATAAAATCACAGTGTCTATTTTCTTACCTGTAAATGAAGATAATAGTGCCTAACTTTTAAGATTTCCTAGTGATTTAATGAAACAATATGTAGAAAACACTTAATATAGTACCAGTCCTGAAATATGTGCTTTGTAAAGTTAGCTCTTATTTTGATACTGAGAGTTTTTGATGCAATATAAGTTTTGTGCTTTAGCGCCATTTAGCTCGTACTACTGGGAGATGGAAAGACCCACCTAAGAAAAATGCTGTGAATGAGTTGCAAGATGAATTGATGACCATTCGACTTAAAGAAGCTGAAACACAGGCAGAAATAAGAGAAATAAAACAAAGAATGATGGAAATGGAGACACAGGTATGATGGGAAAACCCAAGAGGTTTGAAAGTATCATTAGCAGATCAAAGTTTTGTATACACAGATTGTATCATACCTAGAATAAAGGTAAAAAGTGAGGTATGGGTCTGTCTAGGCAGTGATTTTCTAGCCTAAATGAAGAGGGCTAAAAATTGTTTTCAGAGATTTAATCTCTGCTTCTACCCACTCAACCAAGTTTAAGCAGGATAGAGACTTCATTTGACTTTATTAGGTAAAACTCAGACCTTTGTTGCATAGCTTGGGAAGGAACATTCAGGTAGAGCAAAATATCTCAACCTCCACACTTAAAATTTTGGCTTGATATTCTTTGTTTTATGAAGCTGTTCTGGATACTGGAGGATATTTAACAGCATACCTGGTCTCTACCCACCAGATGCCTGTCACATCTCTCTCCCACTCCAGGTTGTTTTGACCAAAACTGTTACCATGCATTTTCAGTTGTCTTTTGGAATGGAGATTGGGAGGGCAAAATTGCCACTAATTGAGAACCACAACTGTGGAATAATGCTTCCTCAAATTATGTAATGAGTAATCTGTTGTAAAATTGTTTACTGTTTTTCTCTAAAGTCCTCTGTTACTCTAATAAATCCTATTTTAAATATAATTAAGATCTGAAAGGGCCTTTTTATGAAATCCATTTACATTGTAAAAACATATTTGATTTCTTTCCTTTTTGGTACCAGGGTTCTTAACCAATGAGCCATATCCCCAGCCCTTTATATATTTTATTTTGAGACAGAGTCCTACTAAGTTGCTCAGGGCCTCACAAAGTTCCTGAGGCTAGCTTGGAACTTGGAATCCTCCTGCCTCAGCCTCCTGAGCCACACATTTGGTTTTTATGTGGTACATTTGCATGAACCATATTCTGTATGTAGTTGTTACTTCTTATCCATGAGATTGCGTATAGGATCCCTTTCAGATACCAAATCTGTAGATGCCCAAATCTATTGTATTAAATGGTGTAGTATTTGCATATACCCAATGTTATTCTCCTATATACTTTATTTATTTATTTTTTTAATTGTAGGTGGGCACAATGCCTTTATTTTTATTTATTTATTTTTATGTGGTGCTTAAGATCAAACCCAGTGCCTCACCTGTGCTAGGTGAGTGCTCTACCACTGAACCACAACCCCAGCTCCTCCTATATGCTTTTAATCATCTCTAGATTGCTTTTAATGCTTAATACAATGCAAATGGTTTGTAAGTAATTGTTATGATGTATTGTTTAGGAAATAATGACAAGAAAAAAGTCTGTATGTGTTCAGTTACAGATGAATTGTGTTTTTTAAAATATATTGATCCTTTGTTGGTTGAATCCATGGACACAAAATGCAAGGCTCCAGAGGGCTGGATGCTATTTGGTTTTCAAAGTATTTATTCAGTCAGTAGGGAGCAGTGTTAACTCATGTCATTCTGTATTCCATTGTGCAAAATGATCTGCTTATCTCAAAATGAATGTGTGATTTCTTTAGATTATATAGATCTTGCTTTACATTTTTCACAGTTATTTGTTGTATTTTCAGTATAAATAAAATAACACTGAAAGGATACTATAAGATTATGAAGAGTAGAATGTCTAGGTTTTATAGTGGGAAATAAATTCTGATTATTTTCATTATTTATTATTTTATTATTTATTATATAGTTATTATTTTTATAATCAGAATTTATCTTAATATAGACAATAAAAGTGTAAATACAACTTTTTTAATATATATTTTTTTTAGTTTGTAGATGAACACAATATCTTATTTGTTTATTTCTATGTGGTGCTGGGGACCGAACCCAGGGCCTCATGCATGCAAGGCAAGAGCTCTACCACTGAGCTACAACCCCAGCCCGTAAATACAACTTTTAAGCCAGTGTTGAGGATTCTTCTCACAGTAGGTAGAGGTGAATGAAACATATTCACAAACATGGTTTTGAGAACTTTGAACAAAAAGCACTGTTCCAGCCATCAAGGACTTATATTTTAGTAACATGCTTCCACAATATGACTCAGAAATCTGGTAAGTAGACAGTTAGATAGAAATTGCTAGGGGAAATTAATTCCAGTTAGGTGTTTTGAGGAAAGACTTTTTAAGGAATTTGTGTTTTGAACTGTTCCAGACAGGTAGGTATGATTTTGGATAGATTTTGCTGAAAACGGGATTGTGTAAGGCACTGATTTCTAAATGCCATTGCTCCAATGGGTGATAATCCATGTAGTTTTCTCATTGAAAAATGAGAAAAACAACTAGAAACTGGTGTAACGGTGGTGGTATATAGTCATCTAATGAAATTATGTCAGACACCCATATAGTCACCTTCCAGATTGAGATTTACCCATGTTGTTATATGTAACTCCAATTTCTTCATTTTAAGAACTTTTAGATAAATCTGTCTAGTGAGTATATGTCATTTTATTGAGCCACTGTCCTTGCTTTATACAGATTTTTGCTATTGCAAATAATGCTACTCTGCACATTCGTGCATGTATTTCCTTGTGTATGTCTCCATGTGTTTCAAGTACAGTACTTGCTTAATGTGCATGAATCCTTTTGGCAGTCTGGGGCCTATGAACCCCTTCCCTTCTCAAAACAATGTTTTTGAATGCATAAAACAAAATACACAGGATTGGGAAACAAACCATTTATATTGAGGCACATTTATCAAAATACTAAAAACAAATATGTGACACAGAATACAGACACAACACAAAACACATTCCTTTTGGTGAATTTAAGTTGTTATTTATTTATTTTGGTATTTAAATTCACAAGTTAAATTATAAGTATTTTCCCATCCTTTTATATTTTCAACTTACCTGATTTTTTTAGATCTCTGATAAATAGCATATAGATAGCTTTTAAAATTGAACCTAACAAATGGTTGTTTAACTCTGAAATACCAAAAACTACTGTTAAAGTTATTTAAAGTAGGTAAATTTTATATATAATATAATATTATATAATATATAATAAGCTATTTAAAAATCCAGTCTCATGAAATTTGTTTGTTTGTTTTGTGGTGCTGGGAATTTGTTTATTTGTTTTGTGGTGCTGGGAATTCAACCCTGGGCCTTGTGCATGCTAGGCAAGCACTCTACCAACTGAGCTATGTTCCCAGCCCTAGTCCATGTTTTATGATTCTGTTTGGATTACTCTCTATCACCTTGCTAGTTATTTTCTGTTCATTCATTTATTCTTTATTTTTTCTTCTTTGACTACCTTTTCTTGGATTTATAGCACATTTATTACGGCTTTATTTTATTTTCATATCATTTATACTCCTTTTAAGAAATTTTTTAGTGATTATTCTAGGTTTTATAGTACACACCTATAATCAGAGCTTACTTTCAAATAATGTTATTAATTAAAAATAATGAATTGTTTCATGTGTGATAAAATCCTTACAATCGTGTATTCTTAATTCTTCCTCTTGTGCTATTGTTGTTATACATTAGTATAACATATGCTGATAATTTTGCTTTTAATCAGTGATTATTTCATAGATTTTAAATTTTTTAATGAATTGTTTTCCCTTTACTTATTCGACTTCAGCACTCATTTCTTCTTGTAGATCCTTGTATTCCTTCTACTTGGAAAGCTTCACTTTATATTTATAGTAGTGCTGGTCTACTGGCATGGAATTTAGGATTTTGGGGGAGAGTGGAGGGAGCCAGTGAAGGGAATTTAAAACATACTTGCAAAGTATTGAATTCTGGATTGACAGATCTTTTTTTCTTTCATCACTTTATTTTTTTTAATTTTAAAAATTTTCTAATTAGTTATACATGACTGCAGAATGCATTTCGATTCATTGTACACAAATGGAGCACAGTTTTTCATTTTTCTGGTTTTCATTTTTCTAGTTGCTAGTACGGGATGTAGAGTCACACCACATGTGCAGTCATACATGTACCTAGGATAATGATGTTCATCTCATTCCACCATCTTTCCCACCCCCCTTGTCTCCCTCCCTCCACTTTGCCAATCAAGCTCCTCTATTCTACCCATGTGCGCGCCCCTCCCACCCCCATTATGGCTCAGCATCCGCTTATCAGACTACATTCGGCCTTTGGTTTTTTGGGATTGTCTTACTTTGCTTAGCATGATATTCTCCAACTCCATTTACCTGCAAATGCCATAATTTTATTCTATTTTAATGCTGAGTAATATTTCTTTGTGTATATGTACCACAGTTTCTTTATCCATATATCTGTTGAAGGACATCTAGATTGGTTCCACAGTTTAGCCATTGTGAATTGAACTGCTGTCTTTCATCACTTTAAAAATCACTGTTATCTTTTTTTATAAATCATGCATGCCGAAATTCTATTATAATTCTTATTTTTGTTTCTCTACATGTAATGTGGTTCCGCCTCACCCAGCTGCCTTTAAGATTTTTTTTTTAAAGAGAGAGAGAGAGAGAGAGAGAGAGAATTTTTCCATATTTGTTTTTCAGTTTTCGGTGGATACAACATCTTTATTTTATTTTACATGGTGCTGAGGATCAAACCCAGCGTCCCGTGCATGCCAGGCGAGCACGTTACCGCTTGAGCCACATCCCCAGCCCATGCCTTTGAGATTTTATTTTTGGCTCTCTCTCCCCTGGGAGATTGCCTGCATTCTCCCTTGAATGTGTATGAGCTTTTTAAAAATTGGTTGTGTCTCTGGGTGGCAGGGAGAAAGAACAGAAAAAAAAAATTGGGGGGTGGGGGGAGTCGGGCGGCAGCGAGCAGTACCAGGGACTGAACAACCACTCAACCACTGAGCCACATCCCCTGTTTTGTTTTTCATTTAGAGACAGTGTCTCACTGAGTTGCTTAGCCCCTCGATTTTGCTGAGGCTGGCTTTGAACTTGTGATCCTCCTGCCTCAGCCTCCTGAGCTGCTAGGATTACAGGTGTGCGCCACCGCAACCCAAGTTTCTTGGCTCTGTGGATTGTGTCTACCATGAATTTTAGAAAATTTCTGCTTATTGTGTCTTGGTCATTATATCATTTTGGCTTTCTTCTGCCCATATGGTCTTCTGGTTTCAATGATATCCATATTGGGTTCATTCTTAGTGTACAGGATTTTTTTTTTTATTTTTGTAATGCTGGGGATCCAACCCAGGATCTTATACATCTTGAGCAAGCACCTTATCCCTGCCTTCATGTTGTGCAGAAACTCTTGGATGCTCTTTTCTTTCCCCCTCCTCTATTATTTTTTCTCTTTGTGTTTTTAGCTTCTATTGACTGAAATGTTTCTATTGACTTCTTATTTAGTTCACTGATTATTTTCTCCACTTTGTTGAGTTGTTAGATGAAGCCATTTAAGGCATTCTTGTCATGGTTTTTTTATTTCTCGTTTTTCTGTTGATTTCTTAGAATGCTAATTTTTCTAAGGATATTACCTATCTGAACTTACTTATTTTTAAACTTAGAGCCTTTGACATATTAATCATACTTACTTTAAATTCCTTGTCAGATAATTTCAGTATATGTGTCATTTTATGAGGTGAATTTTATTGATTGCTTTGTCTTTTGCTAGTATTTTGGGGGGTTTTGCCTTCTATACTTTGCAAATTTTTGATGAAAGTTAGATATTTTAGATGGGGCAGTATATAAAGTATTTTACCTTAGGCTAGAAATGGGTACACTTTTTCTCCTGCCAGACCTTTCATGTGGGAGATTTGAGTTAATATAGTCAGGAGATAGGCTGAATTTGAGGTTTGTTGTTTCTGTGGTTATCCACAGTGTACCACAGGCTTCACAATCCTTTAGTAATGCCTTATTTTAGAGTAGGGGCTGGTTTGCCAGAGGGCTTTTCTCAGTGTCTTCCCTTCCTTCATACCACCTCAGAAAAAGGTCTGTCTCCAGGTATATTTGAAACTGCAGGGATGTTTCCTGTGATTCTGATAAAACCCCAGTCTTATGCTGCATTATGTTTTTGTATCTGGGTATTTGACCTTTTAATTTTCCTGCCAACCCCAGGCTGTAGTCCTAGGCCTAAAATATTATTTCTCTGTCTACCCACTTTGTATTCCTATTACCTCTTTCAGAAATGAATATTTTTAAGTTGTATATCACTTATACAAAAAAGTTATAGACCTTTTTGTATAAGTGATATATTTAGTTATAACAAGAGTTTCTAATATGGACCACATGTGTTCCCTTGGAGGATTAGATATTTAAAACAGTTTTATATCTTATTTTTTCAGTGTTTATTGAAGAAAATTGACTTGTAGCTGATAACATTTTTATGTTATTGTATTGAGTGCATCGGTAAAAATGTTTAATTTTCAGCCCTTTTATATATAGTGTACATAATTATATTTCTGCTTATTAGAACCAGATCAATAGTAATCATCTTAGAAGAGCAGAACAAGAGGTGATCAGTCTACAGGAGAAGGTACACTATCTTTCTGCACAGAACAAAGGACTACTTACTCAATTAAGTGAAGCAAAGCGCAAACAAGCAGAGATTGAATGCAAGGTAAATATGTCAGATAGCTGGTTTATGGTTTTTGTCAATGTAATAATGCCTTTCTTTATATCTATATCTATCTATCTATATCTATATCTATATATATCTATATCTATATATATATATATATGTTGTAGATGGACACAATACCTTTATTTTGTTTGTTTATTTTTATGTGGTGCTGAGGATTGAACCCAGTGCCTTACATGTGTGAGGCAAGCGCTGTCTCTGAGCCACAACCCTAGCCTCCTGCCTTTCTTTTATAGGTTGTTTCATCATGACTAGTTGTTGTTGTTTGTTTGTTGTTTTGTTTAGGTACCAGATATTGAGCCCTGGGATGCTTAACCCCTTGGCCACATCCCCAGCCCTTTTAAAACATATTTTATTTAAAGATAGGGTCTCGCTAAGTTGCTCAGGGTCTCACTAAGTTGCTGAGGTGGCTTTGAACTTGTGATCCTCCTGCCTCAGCTCCTGAGCTTCTAGGATTACAGGCTTGTGCCACTGTGCCCCCCCTTTTTTTTTTTAAGCCAATCTACTTCCCACTTTTGAAATTGCTTTGGTGGTGCTTTCATACAAGGTTAGCTCATCTTGCTTCTGGGATGGACTTCAGACAAGAAACATTTTTAGCCACGTACTTGGTTAATTTCCCATGTTGGAATTTACTAGTATCCCTTTACAGTGTTTATTTTGACTAATAGCCCTTTAAAACTGAAGCTTTTAATAACTCAACCCAAAACATGTAATTTGGAAAAGTCGAGGCTCCATTGCTTTGAGTGTTATCTTGTTAGTGGGAAGTAAATATTGATGTATGTTTTCTGGAAAGAGTAGAGAGCAAAATAAATGTGTATGTACCTTGGGTCAGGATAAAATGGATACATTTCCCATAGTTCTTTTAATCAGTTTTTCTGTGTGTGTGTGTGTGTGTGTGTGTGCGCGCACGCGCATGCACACGTGCACCAGTGAGTGGTGAGAAGTGTTTGATTCAGAAAGCATCAAAAGTATTGAAATCAAGGATATTTTCCCCTAAAATAAATTTACACACTTAACAGTGATGAGAGAGATTGGAGAGTAAGGTATAGGAGAGGGAGGGGATGTGTGTGTTTGTGTGTGTTTGTGTGTATGTGTATTTGTGTGTGTGTGTGTATGAGGGGTGTGGGGGAGAAAGAATTAGAGATAAGTGTAGTCTGCATATTAGAATGGATTACTGAAGACAAGTTATGAAATTTTGAAATAAACTAAACATCTACTTAGTAGATGGTAGGAATGATACCCTTTAAATATTCTAGCCTTCTTTTTCTGTGAGAAGTAAGACTTTGTAAGTGGTACATTATAAAGCTGTAATTCCATCAACTTGTTTTAGTGTCATTAAAAACCAAGAGTGAAGCTTGAGTGGTTTATCAGTGTCATTGAAATCCAGAGATGAAATTACATCCTAATAAATATGCATGGCTCTTACAAATTTATACTGTGACAGAAATATGTAGGTAGTACTAAAATTTGTGATAATTTAAGCATAATCCCATTTGAAGGATGTGCATGGACTAATTAAAAATAAAATGATGTGAAATGAGGTTATATTAATCTGATTTATTATACGAATCTGATTTTTTATGATGCTGAATTATCTGTCCTCAATTAAATTTAATCTTTTTGCATTCTTGATGTAAGTTTTCTTTAAATATCTCAATAACAATGTTATTAGACTTGATATTGCTTCTTAAGTATCTTAGCACCTGTTAGTGAAGTAAAATGTTGTTTGAAAATAAGTATATATACAACTTACTGATAAAAATAGTTATCTGAGTTTATCTAAGTAATGGGTGCAGATCAGAATATTAGAGGATTTGAGGAACTGATACAGGATTTTATTTAATTTTTAGTGTTCATTAATAACTCTATAAAAACTATGTTATAGATGCTAACTTTGATTACTATATGTTTAAGCTATATATTAATTTACTCAGTCTTAGGAAATGCTGTTTGCAGATTTTAACAATTAATAAAATGAAATGTCACCCTAACACCTAGTACTTTCTGACTAAATATGTATATTTTACCTTGTCATGTTGATAGAATTCAGAAACAAATTAACTTTCTAAGGAATCCAGTCCTTGAATTATATAAATCTGAATCATTTTCAGTTAGTTTTATATAATTATAGTTCATGATTGGTTGATATTAGTCATAAAAGCTCATTTTATTTTTTACTTATACAAAATATCAGGAAATGGTAATTTTGTTATTTCCCTCTACAACTAAATTTGAATATTCTCACTTTAAAATAAAATAATACAAATCCTTTGATCCCCAGTTTCAAAATCCAAAACACTCTGAAACCCAAAAGTTTCATAAATTTCACACAAATTCATTTCAAGGCAAAACCTGATTTGAGTTGACATATGGCCACTTAAAATTTGTTTTTTACCCCAGTTTGTGTGGATATTTATACTTCACTTTTTATTATAGATGCTGCCTCAGACACTTTTCTAAAATCTGAAAAAAAAATCTCAATTCCAAACACAAGTAGTTTATTACTTTTGTTTTGTTTGCTACCCTAGAACAAGGAAGAAGTGATGGCTGTGAGACTTCGAGAAGCAGATAGCATAGCTGCTGTGGCTGAACTGCAGCAGCACATTGCTGAGCTTGAAATCCAGGTACATATAAAAATAATAGAATACATCTAAAAATAATGTCATAGTCCCCGTCTCTTCTCTGTGTACCTGATGAATGACTTATCTGTTTCTTTATCCCCATGACTGTATTCTAGTTTCAATATTTACTCATTTCCAAGTCCTTTTTTTCTTATTGTGGTGAAACATACATAACATAAAGTTTGCTCTTTTAAAATATACAGTTCCATGGTGTTACGTGCATTTATGTTGTTGTACACCTATCACCACCATCCATCTCCAGAAATTTTTCATCTTCTCTGACTGAAAATTTGTGTCCGTTAAACATTAATTTCCCATTCTCTTCTCCCTCCAGCCTCTGGTAACCACCATTATATTTTCTATATCTATGAATTTGACCAGTCTATCTACCTCACATAAATGGAATTATGTAAATTTTTTGTGACATTTCACTTAGCATGATGTCCTTAAGGTTCATTTATATTATAGCATGTGTCCAAATTTTCTTCCTTTTTAAGGCTGAATAACATTTCTTTGTGTGTATATACTACATTTTGATTATCTATTCCTTTATTGCTCCACCTTTGGGCTACTGTAAATGATGCTACTGTGATCATGGGAGCACAAATATCTTGGGAGTCCATGAATTTACTTCTTTTGAGTATATATAGCACTTGGAAGTAGAATTTCTGGATTATGTAGTTCTACTTAATTTTTTTTGTGAAATAGTTATACTGTTTTTGAAAGCAACTATATTATTTTACATTCCTACCAGCAGTACACAAAAGTTCCATTTTCTCCATATCCTTACCAAAGCTTGCTAATTTTCAAGGGGTTTTTAAAAATAATCTGCCATTGGGCTGGGGATGTGGCTCAAGTGGTAGCACGCTTGTCTAGCATGCGTGAGGCACTGAGTTCGATTCTCAACACAAGGTAAAAATAAAATAAAGGTATTGTGTCACCTAAAACTAAAAATAAAATATTTAAATAATAATAATAATCTGCCATTCTAATGGGTATGAAGTGGTAGCTCTTTGTAGCTTTGATTTGCATTTCCCTAATAATTGGTAATGTTGAGCATCTTTTTACTTGCTTGTATGACATTCATTTATCTTCTTTGGAGATCTATGCATTCAAGTCCTTTATCCAGTTTTGAATCAGGTTGTTTGTTGGTGATGAGTTAGTTGTAGGACTTACTTATATGTTCTAAATATCAATCTCTTATGGATATATGGTTTGCAAATATTTTCTCTCATTCTATGGATTATCTTTTTTTCTTTGTTGATTTGTACTTTGATGGACAAAAGTTTTTAATTTTCCTGAAGTCCAAAACTTTTGCAAAAATCTGTTTTCTGTTTTTGTTGACTTCTTTCCAAGTCCATTTTTGAGTGACAGTTTATTGTATATCTATATTGTCAAAGCTGTTTTTCAAAGAAAATTCTGAGCTTTAAAAGGAAATATATTAGTTGGGTGCAGTAGTGTGCGCCTGTAATCCCAGCAGCTCGGGAGGCTGAGACAAGAGGATTGTGAGTTCAAAGCCAGCCTCAGCAAAAGCAAGGCACTGAACAACTCAGCGGAACCCTGTCTCTAAATAAAATACAAAATAGGGCTGGGGATGTGACTTAGTGGTCAAGCACCCCTGAGTTCAATCCCGGGTACCAAAACAACAACAAAAACATATTATTTTGTCATCTCAAATGTCCTCCTTATTGTACAATATGGTAAGATGAGAAGTTTCCTATATATAATAAGTATTATGTTTAAAAATCTGTATCTTTCAAATTGGGTGAGTTGTTTTGTTTGATTGTTTGAGACAGGTTTTTGCTATGTTACTCAGGCTGTCTCAAACTCCTGGGCTCAAGTGATTCTCCTGTCTCAGCTTTGCCCTCTGAAGTAGCTGGGACTATAGGTATTGAACCATGGCTCGTGACTCAAAATGGGATTTTTTTGTTTGTTTTGCTATACTTGGGATAGAACCCAGGGTCATTCCAGCTAACTACCAACTAACTATACCCGAAGCCCTTTTCATTTCTTAGTCATTTTAAGTTTCCCAGGCTGGCCTCAACTTGTAATCCTCTTGTCTCAGCCTCTAGAGTTACTGGGATGGATTCCAGTTGTGCACCACTGTGCCAAACTTTGGTTCAAAGTTTTTTTTTTTTTTTTTTATTACATTTTACTCCAAATCACAGTGTAATTTTTGTTGCAACATTTAGAATTTTATTTTCATCTGAAATTTCCTTTTGTTCTTAAATCTCAATTTAAAATTCAGTTAATTTGAAAATTTCCATATTATATTATAACCTAATTTTTTGATCTCCATCAAAGTTATGATGTTATAATATGTATACATTTATAAAAAGGTATCCTTTATGTTTTTTTGGTAATACTCCCCATAAAGTGTACACTCAGAAATGAACAGTTTGCTTAGTATACTTATAATCAGTTATTTAAATCCAGCTACCATGTACTAGTCCAGTTTTACTTTTCTGGCATCAAGAAAATTATACAAATTTGCCATGTCTGTATATCTTAGTCATAAAATAGCAAGATTTAAATCACTTCTTTTGTTGATTCTAAAATACTTATTAAAATGAAGAACTTGGCATGCTGTATGTTTTGTTTAAAGTGAACTATGTTTGCATCATTTTAGAAAAATAAAAAGAAGGTGCATGGTATTGGGGTATTTTTTTTTTAGCATCTCCTCAACCTGTTGCCCCAAACCAAGCCCCTGGCAGCTACCATTCTACTTTGTAGGTATGAGTTCAACTTTTTTAGATTCCTCATATAAGTAAGATCATGGGGTATTAATCTTTCTATGCCTGGCTTATTTCACCTAGCATAATCTCCTCCAATTTTATCCATTTTGTCACAAATAATAGGAATTCCTTCTTTTTTAAGACTGAATAGCATTCCATTGTGTATACTTACTTCATTTTCTTTTTCCATTCATCCACTGATGAATACTTAGGTTGGTTCCATATCTTGGCTATTGTGAATAATGCTACAGACATATCTCTTCAACATACTAATTTTATTTCCTTTGGATATATAACCAGTAATGGGATTGATGGATCATATGGCAATTCTGTTTTTAATTTTTTGAGGAACCACCATACTATTTTCCATAATGTATATGCTAATTTATATTCCGACCAGCAGTGTACAAGGATTCCCTTGTCTTCACAGCCTCTCCAACACTTGTGATGTTTCATTATTTTGATAATAGCTGTTCTAACAGGTTTGAGATGATGGAATTTTTTTTTTTTACTATTAATAGGAGTATGTTAGCAGCAGTTTGTTCACTGTTGGTGAAGTGATCACTGAAATCCTGATTTATAGATTTACTGGTTACTTTTTCAGCTATCACTGCTTGTTCTTATCCTTAGGTCATTGTTCACCTCTTCTTCCTCCTTGCATTCTCTCCTCCTCTGGCTTTCTCCTAACACCACTTATTTTTGTTTGTTTGTTTGTTTGGTTGTTTTTTTTTTTTTTTTTGGTTCTGGGAATTGAACGCAGGGCCTTGTTCATCCAAGCCACATACTCTACCAACTGAGCTATATCCCCAGCTCTCTAACACTACTTGTTTTTTATTCTCTTCTTTCTTGTTTAACTGTTGTTTCCAGTCTTCTCTATCCATTCTGAGTGTTTGTGTTCTTGAGAATCCAAGTTTCGGGCTCTTAAAAACTATGGAAATAAAAGGTCTCATTTACATCTTTGTAACAAAGAATTATAATTTATCTCCAGCCTTAACCTCTTTCTCCTATCAGTTTTTAAACCTTTTGAAAAAAATTATTAAGCACAATATCTACAGAAGTTCGTAAAACAAAGCTACATTAATATATTTTAAAAACTTCACATTTAACTGCTACCAAGGTAAAGATAGGGAACAGTGGTTCTGCTCAGGGAGTCCACCCACTCATACCCTACTCTTTCTGACTTTTATGATGGTCATTCCATTACTGTTCCTCTGGTTTTGTCATCTTTGTGTGCATTTCTGATCTATACAGTTTAGTTTTCCCAGTTTATCAATTTTGTATGAGATAATATTTAATATTTTCTTTTGTGTCTTTTCTTTCATTGTTCAACTTTGATTTTCTAAGTCCTCATTTTTATTGTTGCATGCATTTTCATTTTTAAAATATAACACAGTGTATTTACTTATTTTACTACTAGTGGAATAAGTAAATCGGGAATTTCCAGGTTGGTGTTATTGTGCACAATGCTGTGACGTTGAATAATTATGCACACTGCATTGGTCATATGTGCACAAGTTTCTCTAGCATGTATACCAAGATGTGGAGTTGCCAAGTTGTAGGGCTTATGAATCTTCAACTTTATTTTCCAAAGTGCTTGTAATAGTTTAGTCTCCCAATAGCTGCATATGAAAGTTCTTGTTGTTCCACATCCTCCCCGGTGCTTGATGGTGTCACGCGGTTTAATTTTTGCCAATCTGGTGGGTATGCAGTGATCTTTTGTCACAGTTTTAATTTACATTTCATTACTAAAAAGGTTAGCCATTTGGGTTCCTGTTTTTGTAAAGTACCTGATAAGGTTTTTTGCTTATATTTTTATTAGGCTGTTTCTTGCTTATGGATATATAATTTCTTATATATTAATGTTCTTCAAATGTTTTGTGAATATCTACCTTAATCTATGACTTGTCTTTTGTCTTTATCATGTATTTGGTAAGTAGGCCAGTAATTTGAATAGTTCCACCTGAAAGTTGTACAACACTTTGAATTAAAGGTGTTTAAAGTCAGACATGTTTCTGTTTCATCTATAATGTTTTCCTTCTTTCATATCTCAAGTCTTGATTAATGGATCATCTCTTATCAAATTATTCAACCTACTAGTAACTTCAGATATCTTTTTTTTACCCTATAACATAATATGTATATATAAGGTGTGCAAGTTTTCCACATGTGAGTAGATAACAAATTATTTTACAAAGTGCTTATGCTACTTTACTTTCCTACCAACATTTTGCCTAATCCTATGGATTTTACTTTAGACAATTCTTAATG